AAGCTAAATGTTTAGTTTACTAAACTTACAAGTTAAATATTTAGTTTGTAAACTAAACTAAATATTTAGCATGGAGCTAAATATTTAGTCTACAAACTAAATGTTTATGTCCAAGCTAAATGTTTAAAATACAAACTAAATATTTAACTTTAGTTTGTATTTTAAACATTTAGCTTGTTATTTAACTTACAAGTTAAATATTTAGGTCAAAGTTAAATATTTATTTTGGAAATTAAATGTTTAGCTTGGAAAATAACTATTTAGGTCAGAGCTAAATATTTAGTTAGCAAATTAAATGTTTAGTTTAGGAAATGAATGTTTAGCTTATAAATTAAATGTTTAGTTTTGAAAATAAATATTTAGCTTGTAAATTAAATATTTATTTTGGAACTATGACATTTATAAATGTATGAATAACGTAGTCAAAATATAATTGTGGAAAAAAACACAAAAAATGTTTTTTTCTTATGAAAAGCTAAGTAAACCAAAATATTGTTGTTAATTTTTGACTGTGCAACTTTACAAACGACACCCCAAATGCTATTACTTAGTCAAACAATATGTTTTAAATGTTTTATCAGGATATATATATATATATTTTTATTTATATTGGACCAACATATAGATTTAGCCATTTTAAAACAAACACAAAGCATCAAGTCATCAATGCTTGTTTCTGCGTCATTAACAATAAATCATGTCAGGATTGTAAGTAGCTGTGCAAAAACACATGTCAGATCAGTACTTGCTTTCCTTCCTGTCCTGAAACAAAAAGGTTCCAGGAACGGTGAGTGTGGCATTTTACTCAAATCAGCCTGGTGTGACTCACCCTCTGCCCATCGAGCTGTTTTCCTGCAGAATCCCGTGTTTTATGGAGGTGGACAGCAGAGTGTAGAGACAGCCATCCCATTAATAAGAACTGGTGGTTTGAATCCTGGCTTCCCAACACACTGAATAAATCAAATTAAATTAAAAACAAGGCAGAAACCTAGAGGAGACACTGATGGAAAACATTTCATGGGACAGTCTTGTCATTTATTGCTCCACTTTCAAACTTTTAAATAAAGTTCACTTTACTAAATAAGTACAAACATTTTTCATTTGTACTCAGAAATATGTTTTAAAATATATACTGGCTCCAAAGTCACATGTTATTCAGCTGAAACAAAACCAAATTCATTCAAAGATTTAATTTTCTCATATAACGATAAGAAAATAAAGCAATGAGAGTTACATGGAGCATTCAGCTCCAGAAGCTTTACAAATAAAATCTCATATATTTTATGATGTTTTGCTGCCCTCTAGCGGTTAAACTTAGACTTGTTAACAAATGTGCATCAGGCAAGATGCTTCTGACATTGTGGTTCAGGAGTGGCTTGACGTGAAGAAAGAGACATTTGTAGCTCATGTCTAGAGCTCGTCTGTGCGTGTGCAGCTTGAGTTTTCAATATGGAACTTTATTACAAGATTCTAATTTTCAGAGACACTGAGGAAAAGTTTTATTATATTCAAGCTATAATCATATAAAATAAACAAAAAGTCTCGAGATAGTTCACTTTGTGTACTGACTCTATGAAATATGAGTCTATCTGAAGTGATTAACAAAAAATATTGAACATTTTCCACAAAAAATTTTTTTGAGGCACTTGTAGCTTTTACTATAATACCTCGTCAGGATGTACAGTTAAATTGTTGAAGAACCTCACTCACCTACACAAGGAGAGGTTGGTGAAAAAGTCCAGACTGATCCTGATGGCCTACTCCATGGTGAGTTCAGGCTCACTCTGTGGTGAGTTCAGGCTCACTCCGTGGTGAGTTCAGGCTCACTCCGTGGTGACTTCAGGCTCACACTGTGGTGACTTCAGGCTCACTCTGTGGTGAGTTCAGGCTCACTCTGTGGTGAGTTCAGGCTCACTCCGTGGAGAGTTCAGGCTCACTCTGTGGTAAGTTCAAGTTCACTCTGTGGTGAATTCAGGTTCACTCTGTGGTAAGTTCAAGTTCACTCTGTGGTGAATTCAGGTTTACTCTGTGGTAAGTTCAAGTTCACTCTGTGGTGAGTTCAGGTTCACTCCGTGGTGAGTTCAGGCTCACTCCGTGGTGATTTCAGGTTCACTCCATGTATCTTCCGACTGGATTCAGGTATGCTGCCCAGGTGCAGGACTATCAGATTGAAAAACTTTATTTATCCCTGCAGCAATCAGGCTTCTTAATGAGCAGCTGTGATTTTCGTGTATTGTCTTGTCGTGCATGAATGTTTTTGTCTATAGACTGAAACAAATCGCCTGTCGGGGATAATAAAGATTCTTAACCATAACACAGTTTTCTACAAAACTTTAATAAGACAAACACAACTTGATTTTGAAAAACAAAAACATTGTTAGCCATCAATTTTAAAATATTTACCAAAATGTACACTGTAAATAAAAAAAACATGTTAAAATGCATAGAGTTAAAAAAGCAATAAAGGGAAAACAAAAACAAACAGTTCCTAGTGATTACAAATTAAAGCTAATTAACTCCCCACTTCCATTTTCTATTAGTGTCTAAAGTCACAATTATAAACTCTTAAAAACCTGAAACAGTGCATATTACTGATATTTGACCTATTTGTTTGCAGAGTTACTCCGCTGGATGATAATCAGTCTGTTGTTGCACACTTGGTCAAGCTGCAGTCCCTCCACTGGTCTGCACGATTGAAAAAATAAAATATTTGCTCATGAGCTGCAAATAAACATTACAAACCACAAATCAGAAACATAAAGTTTCTTTTGTAACCTACCATGGGCTTCATTTCTCGTCCATCCCCGTCACTGGGTTTGTACTGATCCATTTTCTTAGAGTTCTCAACATATTCCTAGAAAGAGACAAAATGAGTAAATGAAAACATGGTAATTAGTCATTTTAGGACAGAATTTTTTAGAATGGACGTTCAGGTAAAAATACTCTTTCAACTTGTTATATTCTAATATTTATCTAAAAAGGGGATTTTTTAAACTAAATTATTTGAGGTGCTTATGCTGAAAAGCCCTAACCCATCTCACCATGAGGGCCTTGTCCATGTAGTACTGCCGTCCAGGGCTGCCATCGTTATATTTGGTGTCCACGGCAAAGCAGAGGAAGAGGACGTCCACCACATTCTCAAACACAGACAGGAAGCAATGGGCCACGAGGAAGGCAAACAGACAAACGATGAGGAGAGGCAGCACCCACACGGTGTAGTCCCTCTGGTAATTCAGAGCCAGAACGCCCGCAAAAGCTGTGCATGAGACTACGATAATCTGAGAACGAAGACGGGGATTATTAAAACTTGACGTGGCCGCAGCAGCAGAACAATCGTATCTTTGACCACTTGGTGGCAGCGCAGCCTGCTCTGCAGACTTTATTTACAGGGAGAACATCATGACCTATAATGCAACTGTTCTAGAGCTTAAATCTGGTACCTTTCCCAGGAAGAGGACGAAGTCGCCCACAGTGTTTATGGCTGCCACCCGGAGCGCGTTCTCCACCAGGATAACGAAGGCGTCGCAGGCTGAGGTGCAGAAGTTGGTGCTGTTGATGGCAGTCGCAGTGTAGGCGTTCTGAAATAACTCAACATTTGAGCTGCGCTCCTTTATAAAAACCTTTCACTCTGTATTCCTGCTTACCTGATTTAAGTAAGCCAAACACTTCTCGAGACACCACAGGCAGCACACGCAGGCCTTCAGCATGCACCGAGCGCAGGCGTTTTCCTGAAGTTTGAACACATTAACAACAAATTAAGTAACTGATTAACCACGAAAAGGCCCATATTGACCTCTAGGTCTATGTTCAGAATTCAAACTAAACAAGTCTGAGACGGACCTTTCCTTTGAGCTGGCTGTGGATGTACGTCAGGATGATGCGGGGGATCTTAACGAGCGTGATGATGAAGGAACCTTTGGCCAGCGTGCCCAGGTGATAGCGAACGGTGCGAATGCTGGCACTGAGGACTGGAGTTGCTGGCAGCTGGGACTTGTTCCTGAAGTTAGTCACAAAAGAGACGACACTGTTAAAATCATGTGGAATTAAAAGTCTGAGAGTCCTTGAAGGAACACATATCGCCCACCGCCTTTTATACCAGAGCTTTAAACCGAAGTTATCTTCTGCTGAGAAGGAATAGTGTTGTAGGTGGTTAAGGTCAAACTTTGAAAATTATGTTTTACACATAATTTCACACAATAATAACATCTGATTATGTTTATAGACATTTGTGTCAAAGGGCTCACCAGTTCTATGATTAATTTCTGAGATATTTTGCTAACAGACCAGCAGAGCCAACAGTTCATGTTAAAATTTTAAGCACAATGTGTTGCACTCAAATATGTGTTGTGGATAATGCTCAACCACCACCTCCAAACGAATTCATTATCTGTAAAATGGATTAGGTTAGAGTCATTTCTTACATTTCCTGAAGCCAGTTGGATGTGGCGGCCATCTTATATTTGGTTGAGTCTAAAAGTTATTTCACTACAAACAACTGAACACACGCACAGAGACACGGGCGAAAACACTGACGACAAATCCACATGAAACACAACTGCTCTGCTTTATACCGTGTGAAATAATAAGTGACCACAGCTCCTGAAATGGTCATCTGCTGGAAGGCAAGGATGAACTCGCTGATCCAGATGAGGCCGACGGCGTGATACCACACCATGTACTGAAGAGCGCCCTGCATCTCATATTCAACCACACCGGTGGAGTTGTTCTTCACTGGTGTCCCTGTTGGAGAACAGTGTCATCTGTGAAAAAAAAACCTCCAAATACATCCCGAGTCACGCTCAATAATCCAGGTAGAACAATCCAACAAAGTTAGGTCAGGTCCTCTGGACGGTTTCTTTTTGTTGAAACGTTTCATCTTTCATCCAAAAGACCATCGGTCCGAGGAGCCGCAACAAACTCGGTCTTACAAATAGCACCTTCTCATGGTGGGTCAACCAGTTTATGGTGCTCAGGCGATTTCTGTAGTCCGCCCTCTCCCCCGCCGATGAAACACGAAACGTTTCAACAAAAAGAAACCGTCCAGAGGACCTGACTTAACTTTGTTAGACTCCAAATACATTCTTACAGTTTTCATACAAGCCTGACAATAACGTTGCAATCTACACCTATGAAAAACGACTGATCTTTTCATCTCTGAAGTGGGTGGCACAGAGGCACAGTTGGTAGAGCAGTTGCTTCTAAACCGTCTCTAGGTGTGAGTGAGAGAGTGAATGGTTGTTTGTCTCGTTTGTCTCTATGTGTCCCCGTGATGGACTGAAGACCTGTCCAGGGTGTGTCCCCCACCTCTCGCACAGTGACTGCTGGATATGGGCACCAGTGACCTCATAACCCAAAAAGGAAGAAGTGTGTAAAGATAATGGATGAATGGATGATCTCTTAAGCTCTTGTTCATGAGGTCACATGGTGACGTTGGAGCACTAACAAGGATCTCAACAAGAGTACCCCATACGGTACACTGTACACCCGTAGACATCTCGAGCTGATCAGATGTTACGGTCCAACAGACGGAGACTACAACATAATGCTGTGCGTGAAAAAATTGGTACCACTTTACAGTAAGGCTCCCCTTATAGATGGCTAAAAATAGTTTATAGATACGTTATTAATTCCTCTATAAACACTTTATAAATCATTAATAACTGTTTATTATGCATTAATTAAGGGTGACAAAGACAAAAGTGACCATTTTTTGCCAAATAGTGAACCAAATGTGTTCATCTAATCATTTCATCTAGAGTTGTTATATTAAACATTTCAGACCAAGTTACTACCTTGTAAGAACAATAAGCATTTGTAAACCTATTTATTTAGCATATAATGTTGCACTTTATCACTGTATTATAAGTATCTACAACTAATATTATATCCTAAAAAAATTTAGGTTTACAAATGCTTATTGTTCTTACAAGGTAGTAACTTAGTCTGAAATGTTTAATATAACAACTCAAGATGAAATGTATAGATGAACACATATGGTTCACTATTTGGCAACAAACTGGTCAGTTTAGTGTCTCTGTCACCCTTAATTAATGCATAATAAACAGTTATTAATGATTTATAAAGTATTTATAGAGGAATTAATAACGTATCTATAAATTATTTATTAGCATCTATGAGGGGAGACTTATTGTAAAGTGGTATCAAAAAAGTGTTACGTTTTGTTTTTTCCAGAACTATACAAGCCTTTCCCTACTTATTAAGAACAAAATATAATTGTAAAATATAATTATATTTTAAAACAAATATAAATATAGAAAATATAGAAAGAAATTTAGTCACAAATGTACATCAGTATAGAGTAGTAAACACCCCCCAGACAGGAAAGATAAATCAGCAATGTGAGACATTAGTTCCTCTTGCGCTGGCTCTTTGTTTGATTTATGAATTTATAATCCACTGTTGATAAGGGAAGAAGGGGGCGACGAGAGAAGTGGTTCTTTCACTGCATTCATCACGAGACTGGCACAGCATTCCACACGTGGGAGTTTAGTCAGGCCAGACAAAATGTCACAAACTCTGCATTCACAGATCCTTCTGATTTTGGAGTAGATGCACTTTAAAAAACATACGGAATTATGAATAACGACAAGCATTTGCACGATCAACCCAGAGGCATCGCAGTTCTTCCTAACCTGAGGTCCCGAGGAACAGGAGCACGGCGATCCAGTAAACCCAGAAGAACATGAGGCTGAGGAAGGTCCAGAAAGGCTGCAGGACCAGCAGCGGGAGGTGGATGAACACTTTACCCGCCACGTGGAACAGGGAGATGGTGAGAGCCACGCGCTTTCTCATGAAAAACATCACCAGCAGGAGCACAACCTGCAAAGTTACACAACACGTTCCCAAACTGCCTCATTCAGTCATTTACCTGTGAATATCTGTTACGTATTTGAAGACCGTCTGTGTGTACGACCTACAGTTTCAATCCTGCACAACTACAGCCCTCGTGTACACTGACGTACCGTAAAAATGGTCGCCCCAATGGCGTACACAAGCAAAGCCTTAACGTTGTCTGAAGCCACTTCCTTCCCAAACACCGATGTGCCGTTATTATCCAGGGCGTGCTTGTGGTCGGCGTACAGCCACCAGAGGACACCGGTCCCACCTGTGAGAAAAGAAACACAAATGCCATTTATAAATGAAGTGTTAGCAGGGAAAACGAACTATAAACTGAATAGTTACCTATAGATCCAATGATCACCAGGACTGTGAGGATCCAAACGAGCAGTTTGGAGATGTAACGGATGACAACCATCATGATCAAGGAGAGGACTGGGTTAGAGAGGGGGGGGGGGGAAATACATTATTTAAATATGGAGCATGTAAAAAACGTCCACTTCAGAATCTAAAGACCATTTTATTCCAGAGTCAGAATAAAACTGCATCCGGCAACTATTTTACAGCAATCTAAAGCATGGACAAGGCAAGCAAAACCCTTGTACTGTATAACCTTTGACCTTGATTTGTGACCTTGGAGCTGAGGGGTGAAAAGTGTATGCAACACTTTTGTTTTAATGGTAGTATAAATATGTATCAAGTTTCATAAAATGATCTTGAGCGGATCAGAAATTAAAATTTACGTTCATAGTACGTCCTTCATTCAACTGGCGTATAATTATAAATCATGATTTAGTGTTCAGAAGTATAATACTGTTATTGTGCAAGTATGGTTATATATATGTATATATATATATGTATATATATATATTTTTTTTTGAAACAGTGATGTAATAAAAGATGACACGCAGCTTTCAGATCTATGAAAGAAAGGACAGTCCAGTCATGAGTCAAGCCTTGACGACACGTGGACCACGCAGATTAAATACAGGAGATAAAGGCAGGCGAAGGCGATGTGGGATTAGTTCTGTCTCTTCTGCTCTGCCAGTGGGAGGACTTGAAGTAAACTTCAGAGGATACACTGACTGTAACCACTCAGGCATTTCCTGTTTTATTTTTTTTGTCCTCCCTCCTGCCCCAAGTGACAAAAATATCTTCAAGTGTATCCTTCCTGATGAATCTTCGTGAGTAATTAAAGCCGGGCAGTGTTGCAGCACAAAAGCAAAGAAACACTGGCTCATTGTTAAATGTGATGTAACGAAGTGCAACACCTAAAGCCAGGACACAGAGACCCATGATGATCTCCTTGCTGGTCACCACTCCAGCGACGACGCGCCGCAGCGCCGTGTTGTCACTGACGAATGTGATGAAGGCTTGGGCGAATTCAACGTAGCAGCTGATATCCACAGGAATACAGCGGTGGAAGACTGGCAAGGCCTTACTGGAAAACAACAACAACGTTTTGTTGGTTATTTATTTAAAGGAACTTGTCCTTTAAGCAGAACACTTTGACTTTATATACAAAATTTAAATTGCAGAAGCACATTATTATTACTATGAGCATCAGAGATAAACGTCATGGTCACACACTCTTCTAACTCCTTAAAGGGACAGTTCCAGTCATTTTAAGTGAGGAAAGGTCACGAACATTTAATATCTTACCTGTAATACATAGTTATCTCTTTGAACAATCTTCGTTCCAAACTTTTGTTGTATTACCAGCAAAGATTTAACAAATATCGTCTGTATGAACTGTTGTGAATTTTAGAAACTGAAGCTTTTAAAACAGCAGCTATCCTCTTAGATCTCTGCCCTGCCAAGTCCAAGTCCATCAAAATTAAACTATTTCTTCAAAATGAGGTCATTCAAAGAACTATCTACTACAGGTAAGGTATTGTTTTTAACATTTCCATAAAACCCCAGTTCAAAATATACTGAACAAAAATATAAATGCAGCACCTTTGTGTTTGTTCCCATTTTCCATGAGCTGAACTCAAAGATCTAAGACTTTTTCTATGAACACAAAAGGCCTTTTATCTCAAATATTATTCACTAATTTGTGTAAATCTGTGTTAGTGAACACTTATTTGCTGAGATAATCCCTCCACCTCACAGGTGTGGCTGATCAAGATGCTGATTAGACAGCATGATTATTGCACAGATGTGCCTTAGGCTGACCACAATAAAAGGCCACTCTAAAATGTGCAGTTTGATCACAGCACAATGCTACAGATGTCACAAAATTTGAGGGAGTGTGCAACTGGCATGCAGAGAGCAGGAATGTCCACTAGAGCTGTTGCCCATGGATTGAACATTAATTTCTCTACCATAAATCGTCTCCAAAGACGTTTAAGAGAATTTGACGGTACATCCAACTGGCCTTACAAGCGCAGCTCATGTGTAACACCAGCCCAGGACCTCCACATCCAGCATCTTCTCCTCCAAGATCGTCTGAGACCAGCCACCTGGACAGCTGCTGCAACAATTGGTTTGAAGAACCAAATAAACTGCACAAACTGTCAGAAACCATCTCAGGGAAGCTCATCTGCATGCTCATTGTACTGATCGGGGTTTGCACCTGACTGCAGTTTGTCATCATGACCTACTTGAGTAGGCAAATGCTCACATTGGGCGTGTTGGAGAGGGGTTCTCTTCATGGATGAATCCAGTTTTCACTGTACAGAGCATCTATGGCAGACAGTGTGCATAGCGTTGTGTGGGTGAGCGGTTTGCTGAAGTCAACGTTGTGAATCGAGTTGCCCATGGTGGAGGTAGGGTCATGGTGTGGACAGGTGTATGTTATGGACAACAAACAGGCACATTTTCTTGATGGCATCTTGAACACACAGCTGTTGTTCCATTCATCAACGACCATCACCTCATGTTGCAGCATAATAATGCACGGCCCCATGTTGCAAGGATCTGTAAACAACTCCTGGAAGCAGAAAACATCCCAGTTCTTGCATGGCCAGCATACTCACCAGACGTGACCCAGTGAGCATGTTTGGGATGCTCTGGATCAGCGTATGCATCATGTTCCAGTTCCTGACAATATCCAGCAACTTCACAGCCATTGAAAAGAAGTGGACCAACAGTCCACAGGCCACAATCAACAACCTGATCAACCCTATGAAAGAGATGTGTTGCACTGCGTGATGCAAATGGTGGTCACACCATATACTGACTGGTTTTCTGACACACATGGACTCCCCCCAATACAGTAAAACTGCACATTTTAGAGTGGCCTTTTATTGTGGTCATCCTAAGGCACACCTGTGCAATAATCATGCTGTTTAATTAGCATCCTGATATGCCACACCTGTGAGGTGGTTGGATTAGCTCTGTAAAGAAGAAGTGATTTACAAAGATTTACAAAAATTAGTGAACAATCTTTGAGAGAAAAAGGTAGTTTGTGTTCATAGAAAAAGTTTTAGAGCTTTGAGTTCAGCTCATGGAAAAGGGGAGCAAACACAAAGGTGCTGCATTTATATTTTTGTTCAGCGTTTCTATACCTTCACTTCAACTGGATAGGCAGATATTTTTATTGCTAAAATTATTATTAATATTATTATTTTTAATAATAACTAATGAACTCCACACTCCTGATTCAAAGTCCTGAATCTCATCATTGACACATCCTCTGGTTGACACACTTATGGTAGTCATGAATTTAGGAATCATTTAAAATGTGCCTAACCTTCTACTTCAAGAATGATTAATAATAAGAAAAATATGGGTAAAAAAGATGGATGGATGAAAATACTAATAAATTAAAGCATAGAAACAATTACCTTGGTGGAACAGGGAGCTTTGGACATTTGGTGTTTCTGTCTGGATGGCTTGGATATCTTGTAGGAGAGATTTCATAGGAGCAGAGGTCAGAACCTAACAAAAGGGGAAACACACACAATTACTGTACAGGGGGTAACTGTAGCTGAGTGGTTAGAGCAGTTGTCCTCCAATGGGAGAGTTGGGGGTTCAATTCCACCAGCAGTCACATGCTGAAGTGTCCCTGGGCAAGACACTGAACCCCTCACTGCCTCCAATGTGTGTCCCATCAGTGTATCAATGTGATCTAAAGCACTGATTAGTCTTTACAGATTCTGATTATTCTTTGTACAGATCTAGTAGAGTGCTGTATGAATGGGTAAATAAGGACACAGATTGTAGTGTAAAGCACTTTGAGTATCTTGATAAGATAGAAAGGTGCTATATTAGTACAGTCCATAGTGTTTCCCCTAGTTAACTTGCCATGGCTGGGTGCTCATCTCATCCATGATTTTTGTTGAGGGGGGCAGGACAGAAACATGTCTGAGCACAGCTTGTACCAACAGTTTTTGAGCAGGGTGGTGGTGGTGCTGGTGTGTGTGTGTGTGTGTGTGTGTGTGTGGGGGGGGGTTCAGCATGAGGGAAGAGGCACCTTTGGCTTTTGCTAGCTTAGCATGACACGTTTGAGTTGTGCGCTCTTTATACACAGTTTTTGAGTGTGTGTGTGGTGTTCAGCTTGATAGAAGAGGCAACATGAGTGTGTTACGCCCCCTGAAAGGGGACAGAAGAGCCAGACATCAACTCAGCTCCCAAGTTGATTTATTTTACCACTGAGTGGAGCCCATGTCCCCTTTATAGTTTCCCCACCCAGGAAGTGACATAATCGCTAAATCTTTCCACAATAATCTTAGAGTTGTCCCTATGTGTATATGTAGTATCATTGTTTTCACATATTTAACTGTTTTAGTTTAAAATCATCTTAACAAATGGCTATTTTCATTTGGCCCATAACACACACCCCATCACAACAAGTGTCGTCCCGACACCCTATTCCTTGATCTAAAGGAACAGTTGGACATTATATAGAATGCCATGACATTTTATCTCATGCACATCACACTAATGACTTTTTTCAATTAATGCTGTAATAAATTATTCACTCTTAACTGCATGTTTAACTCATAAATCCAAACAGTATGTTTACTAGCCACATCACTTATTCAGAAACAGTCTTTTTTGGGATAAGTAAATAAATCCATACTATTCCACTGACAATCATTGTTTTGCAATGGCATGAATGCAATTAGCACCACACAGATTGTGGGTGGCACAACGTCCAAAATCCACTTTCTTTTTGTTGCCCCACTGACCTCATACTGTTACAAGTGGGATTGCCCAACTCGTGATATGTGAGGATTTTTGGTGTCAGTCTCATTCTCTTTAGTCGTGGAAGGTTGTATTCCCCAGCCCCTCTCCCATGGTTGATCACAGTTATTTGCTCTTCTATTTTTTTGTCTTCCTCTGGGAGAATTTCTCTCCTATCCAGTGAACTGGGTTCAATGTGGATCTCATCAGTGTGCAGCTCTTGTGCCAGGTCAACCTGAGATCCCTTCAGTTCTACTCCTGCAGAGTCATTCAGGGCTCCAATATCACTTTCAGACTGTGCTGTTGCATGTCTATTTTCTTCCGTGTTTCCTTTGCTCCTTCTCTTTGGGTGGATAACTTTGAGGGGGGCTTCTAGTGGTAAGTAGATTCATGGGAGCAAAAGATTGCGATGCAATGTCCTATTCCTCCCCTTCCCTTGTTCTGGCACCACTTCATAAACTGGGAGGTCATTATTGACATGGCAAACAACTTTATATATGTCCTTTTCCCAGTAATTACGAAGCTTTCCAGTTCCACCCCTAGGAGTCAAATTTCTGAGCAAAACATGGTCGCCCTCCTCTAATATAGAACAGCGATAGTTTTTGTCATAGTTTTTCTTCCCTCTTTCAGCAGACTTTGCTACATTTTTCTGGGCAATGTCATAAGCCTCCTGCATTCCCCCTTTCTATTTGTCCATATACAGTCGGTGATTTGGCATTCCTGATGCTGGTGTTAAACTGAAAAGAATGTCAATGGGAAGTATTGGAGGTCTCCCAAACAAAAGTTAGAAAGGTGAGAATCCAGTCACATCATTTCTCGTGCAGTTGTATGCATGCACAAGAGTATTCAGAGATTCCTTCCTATTAGCTTTTTCTTGTTCAGTCAATGTTTTCAACATTTGCAGAAGTGTCCGATTGAAATGTTCCACTTGGCCATTTCCTTCTGGATGGTATGGGGTTGTCCTTGATCCTCTAATGCCACAATTTTCTAACAAGTGGGTGAACAACTGATTTTCAAATTCACCCCCTTGGTCGTGGTGGATCCTTTGGGGGGACCCAAACTTCAGGGCATAATCATTAAATATTTTATCAGCCACAGTCTTGCCTGATTTTGATTTTGTTGCATAAGCTTGTGCAAATCGGGTGAAATGGTCTATTATGACTAAAATATACTCATAACCCCCTGAGCATTTGTCTACATGTAAAAAAATCCACAGACACCATTTCAAAAGGTTGAGTAGTGACTATATTTGTGAGAGGTGCTCGAGTTTCTTTCCTGGGCTTCTTGCTCTTCACACAGGAACAGCTCAGAGAGACATACTGTGCGATCTCTTTCTTCATTTGTGGCCAAAAGAACCTTTCGTTCACTAATGATGTTGCTCTCTCCACTCCCTGATGTCCCATCTCATCATGTAATGCTGTCAGCACCATACTTTTATACTTCTCTGGGAGGACAAGCTGTAATCGGGCCCCTGTTTGACGTCTTAAAACTCCATCACTACCCAAGATCAATCTCTCCCACTCACGCATCAACTGTCTCGCCTGGTAGTTCAGGGTTTTTAGCTGTTGGCCTAGTGGTCTCCTACTGGCTTGCAAGCAGGGCCAATGCTCTGGTCATCTCTCTGGGCTAGCAGGATGTCTTCCAACGGGATAGATATTAACTCTTGATTACTTTCCCCCAAGCTCTGAGTTAATAGGGCCATAGACCAGGTTGAATTCTCTTGTTCTTGTACACTCTGGATGGTAGCCTGGATCACTTGAGGGGATAATTCCTTTGTACATTCTTTCATCATGGTTTCAATGGTGACAGGCATTCTGGAGAGGCTGTCAGCATCAACATTCTCTCTACCTGGACGGTACTTGATGGTCAGCTCAAAGTCAGCTAAATCAGAGACCCATCGATAACCTGTAGCATTGAGTTTTGCTGTTGACAACACATATGTGAGTGGGTTATTATCTGGGTACACTGTACAAGATGAACCTATTAGATAATCCCAAAATCTTTCAGTTACTGCCTATTTTAAAGCCAGAAATTCTAACTTTCTTGAATGCAGTTGATAGTTTTTCTCTGGCCCTGTGAGTGTGCGTGATGCATACGCAATCACTCACATCTTTCTACCCACTTCTTGATACAAGACTGCACCTAGACCCTGATTGGAAGCATTAGTATAGAGAACAAATGGCTTAATGAAGTCAGAGAAAGCCAGTATGGTGGGTTCAACCAAACGATCTAGCAATCTCTCCAAAACCTGCTGGTGTTCATTAGTCCACTCTATTAGTTTATTAGATGCAACACATTTACTGTTATTTTCAGTCTGGCCTCTTTCTCTAAATCCCTTTTTGTTCATATCCACCTCTGGGGACACTTTTAAGAGGTTGTAAAGTGGACCAGCAATCTGTACAAAATCTTTGATGTACTGTCTATAATAGCTCAAGAGGCCCATGACAGCCCTCAACTCTCCGACAGTCTTTGATTGTTTCTCTTTTAGGGCCCTCACAGCAATAGTGTCTGCAGGATCCACTTACTACCTGCTGCGGACACTATTCGACCCAAATAACGCACTTCCTGTTTAAAGAGCTCACACTTGCTTGGCTTTAGTTTAATGCCATATTGTCTGAGTCACCTGAGAAATGTTTTCACATCTTCAACATGAGTTAAAAATGATTTACTAAATACAATTGTGTCGTCAAGATAAGGAATGCAAATTTCATCTCTCAACCCCACCAGACACTCTTCCATACATCTCTGAAAAGCAGCAGGAGCACTCATCAGGCCAAAAGGGATCCTAATCCACTCGTACAGCCCCCACGGGGTCACAAAAGCAGTCATTTTCCTGCTTGCCTCCGCCATAAATCCTTGGTGGTAAGCCATCCCTTGATCTAAAAGGGAAAACCACATGTTGCCACCTAAACCATCCATGATATCTTGCACTCTGGGAATTGGCTGGCGATCAGGAATGGTTCGTTTATTTAACTCTCGGTAATCAATGCACAACCTTAATGCTCCACACTTCTTACGAACACAGACTACTGGAGATGCATAAGGTGAATTAGATCTTTTTTATGCACCCCTGTGCTATGAGGTCATGCAAATAGTCCTTCATTTCTTTGGTTTAGTGGTTTAGGCACAGACAAGTAAGTTTTTGCAACAGGCTCTGTGTCCTTCAACATGATGGTAAGCTTCAATTTGTCAACACAACCAATGTCATTATCTGACATAGAAAAAGAACTAGCTTCCTCCCTTAACATTTTTTTTTACCACTTCTCTTTCAGGTTTTGACAGGTGACTCAAATCAATTGGAGGGTCCCACACATCCTGCATCTTGACTCCTTTTCACCTCCACCCCACTTACAGTGGTGGCTGAGAGCCAATTTTGCAACACTCCAGTTGGATAAACTGACTGAATGGGCTGCACTGCACCTACAAGAGCTTTTCCAGAAAGCCCAATATCATGATTTGTAGGGTTCTGTACATCAATTAATATGAAAGACATTACTCCCTTTTTCACTTTTACTAATGTGTCACAAAATTCCAACCCTTCAGCCCACTGCGGGTTTACATCAGGCTCAAAAAGAAGTATAGTGTCTCCTTGGAATGGAGCTGTCTGCACATGGCATTCTACTTTTACAAACGTGTGCGCTGGTATATTTAGTTGTTCTTTTGTTGATTTAACCAGATATGCACATATCTGTTGGGTACTAACTTGCTCAACACACGCTCTAACATTATTTGTTTCAAACCCAGGAAAAGCTGCCTTGAACTTTTTAGCTAGAAAGCCTGTATTTTGCGCTGCTTGCTTAGTGCTACGTCAGTGCCGGGTGGTGGTGGTGGTGGTGGGGGCACAAGTTTGGTTTGGTAGGCGGGGTGCTCAGTTCTTTTGACGGGGTGGGGCACTTTGCTTGTATAATGGTAGGGAAAACACTGGTCCATTTACCATTACACATTTCAGTTTCACTACAGTAGTTTAAAACTATTATCCAATAGTGTCATTTTGTTTGTATACATGTATAAATAATAGAAATGCATTGTAATACATTGATTAGCCAAAATATTTAAACTGCAGATGGGTAAAGTCAATAATCTCATTATATATTATTACAGTGCACTGTTCCTGGGACAAGTTGGGTCCTGGTGTTCCAAAAACATCTTACTTTGACAAATATGGTAACCCCCACTTAAACACTGTGAGAAGCCTTTTACAACCCCTGGTGGTACAAGCAGGGCCTCGCTTAACCGGACCTAGCATACTATAATACTAGTACCACATACAATACTATTATACAGCAATAGCCCCAAACCATCAAAGTTTTAACTTTGACCTTGATTTGTGACATTGACCAGAGACTGTACCACAATACAACTGTCTTTTGACAACCGTCCAGCAACGAGAACACTAAACTATATTTACAATATTCCTGGTTTTCTCACCATTGTTCAGAGAGAAGTCCTTGACATCTTTATAGTCCTTCAGTTCAGCGGTCGGACATTTGGAGACACACAAGGCAATGGACTTGATCTTCCTGTTGATGAGGTCAAGGTTGCAAGGATCCAGAAAGAAAACAAATCTAAACAAAACAAAAAATAGATAATAGTCTGTTCAGTGTTGCAAGTAGGGCATTAACAGAGTACTCAAGTAATCTACACATTGATTGCTAGGACATCTATCGATGTTAAAAATGTAAAGTCGGGTATCCGTAGTGACGTCATATTATGTGACCACCGTATGACCGTAGGGGGCGGTGTTGCACTGTCGCAGGTCACAGAGTATGGTGTAACACCGGGTCCTATCCATCGAACCAGAACCAGTTTCTGTTTAAGTTTCGTTCTTGACGTGCTGCGTGTTTCTTCACGTTTTCAGTTTAATAATAATAACTAATAGTTTAGTTTTTCCTGTGACTTATTTGCAGTATGATAAATGGTAGGAGCATAATATACGCTCCCAATGTTTTGTTGGTCTTTTTTTGTAAATAATTACCTTTTTTTGCGGTTTTATTTATTTATTTATTTTTGCATCTTGAGATCTATGACGTCATCAAATACTCGAGTTCTACTCGGGTTTTATTATGTTAATGCCGAGTTTAAAAATTATATACTCGTTCAACCCCTAGTTGCAAGATCATTATAAAGCAAAATAAGAATCACATTTGACCTTATTGTAAATTACATATATTTTGGTGTTGTAATGTCTTTTGGGTCTGTTTTATCTGAATAAAAAAATGTTAAAATGTTGACATCCCTGCCTTACTGGACAGACCCGTCTTTGTTGTTAAAACGCCTTTTATTCAGAGTCACCATGGGCAACCAGCCCATCGATAAAGCTTTCCCATTGTTTCAGTGAATCTAGGCCTTCAGGCTGTGTGCTGACAGAACGCTACAGCCCCAAACAATCAAACATGTGTCAGACAAATAAAAACAAAGTCCAACTAAAAACCATGCTCGTCATGTGAATACCATATAACAAAGGTTAAAATAAAGACATTTTCCAGGTTGGCAAGTGGACATCTTAACAAAATCTGGTTGTCTGTAAACTTTATAATAAAGGCAGCAAAAAAATCTCAAGAAAAATATAATTTAAGAAGTATATTGCACTATATACAAAGTTTACTATATACAAATGTTCTCAGGCAGCCATCTTGTGGACTGTTTGGAGCTCCCGAGTGTCAAACTCTTTCAGGAGCTGCTGGAGTGGAACTTCCTTGTCCTCGTTACAGTATCAGACTTTACAAGAGAGGCGCTCGCAGCTTATTTAAGGCAAAGATTAAAGCAGAAAAAACAACAACTGGGGGGATTTTTCTACACTTAGAGGTTACCCAAACATCCCAACACCACCACCCAATACGACACATTTGAGAGCTTTTTCCTGCACACAGGTCGCTTCTCAAAGGTTCTCACATAAAGAGGAGTAGTATAGAAGTCCCTCGCTACTTTGCAGTTCGACTTTCGTGGACTCGCTCTTTCATGGTTTTTCTAAGTAAGATTGTACACGATACACGATTGTCAACTTTAATATTACTCACGTGATTGGGACAATATGGGATCAAAAGTTAACAGGAGCGGGAACCAACCAATAGGACAAAAAACAAACAAACAAACAAAAAAACTTTGGACAGACACCGCCATTTAGTTGTTTTCTTTCAATAAACCTAAACTATAACGCAAGTCAATAGAACTACACGGCCCAGAAGGCAACAGTGTTTCCAGCCACTGCTTTCTGCCAAAATAGCAGGAATGGAGGGAAAGTTTAGCAACAAAAAGTCAGAAGTAACGATCGATCTATTCAGCTCACAGAACTGACAGGAAAGTTTCAAATAATCCTGAAGCTCAATTATCCACGTGCGCATCAAAATGGATGGGGCGGTGGGCTTCATCGCTGCAGGGTAGGTCTGCAGAACCAGAACCAAGCTGCTGTTCTGCAGAGCTAGTGAGTACCCATATAAAACTTTGCAGTACTGTACAGTACATATATGTATGTTGTTAAAATTATGTAGGTTTAGGAGTTTAGAACTTTGCAAGAGTGTGGAAAGGGTTTACAAAGTCTTAAAATATATATAAATACTAAAATAAATAGTGTTATTACTTCGCAGTGGTGTCTGGAACGTAACCCCCATGATGATCGAGGGACTACTGTATACTGAGGACAAGACCTTAGTAAGACCAGGACCATAATTTTCCAGACTGACAGATTTCTCTCCTAAAATGATTATTTAATTCAATGGGATTATAATTACAGGATTTCAGCTCATGTAGTCTTTCAATACTATTTATTTTCATATTTAATCATTTATTAAATTACATTTATCACAGTACAGTTATCTCTCTGTGTGATTCTAAATATAATCAAGTTTAGTTCATCCAAACAAACACCACACCTTGTTGTTGTTAACACTGTGAAGAACTGAATTTAACAGATATTTATGAGTGACGAAGAGGTCGGGGGTGTGGTGCAGGGGGTGGGGGGGTGATGGTGCATCAGTTCTGGTATCTCTCCCAGCTGCAGTGACTTGGTCACATGCAAACATGTATTAATATGTAGACTTTTAATTAGTTATTACAAGTTATCACCAGTATGAAGGGGTGGGTGGTTGTTAGTGTAGAGGGGTGTTCTCATTAGAAACAGTCCAGTAACCTGTGACTGGTGCTCTCACCTGCAGTCTGTCTCTGAGTCAGGAACACTGAGATCACCTGCTGAGTATCAGACAGGAAGACCCGCCCTGCTCTGACTGGCTCAAACTGTGGCTCTGGTTCTCTTTATTTGTTCAAAGCAGCGTCAGTATAATCCCTGTATCTTTATTAGATTGGATGGCTTTAAAAAGACCAAAATGAAAAACACCCCCCCCCCCCCCCCTTTCATTTTATGGAGAACTTTAATCCATGACCATTTCATGGGACAAACCCAAGGAGAGATCTGGCTATTCGAGACAAAGATAAGTTGTCTCAGACAACGGAAACAGTCGACCCCTGTATAATGTTTACCATAATATATGAAGTCAGTTAGAACAAAGCACTTACTTTTTCTCCGACATGTCCCTGCCACTGAGAGGGACTCCCTCGACTCTGGTGTTATTCCGACCACACGTGTTGCCATAACTGTCGTACCCGGAGATGAGCCGAGAAGCACCTCCTGTGGCGATGGCAAAACCACATATACACCCCTGCAGGTGACACAGGTATGAGAAAAAAAACAGTACCACTTTACAATAAGGCTCCCCTTATACATGCTAATAAATAGTTTATAGAGGTTATTAATTCCTCTATAAACACTTTATAAATCATTAATAACTGCTTATTATGCATTAATTAAGGGAGAGAAAACTAACCAGTTTGTTGCCAAATAGTGAATCAAATCTGTGCCCCTATTTATTTCATCTACAGTTGTTATATTAAACATTTCAGACTAAGTTACTACCTTGTAAGAACAATAAACGTTTGTAAACCAACTTTTTTTTAGGATATAATATTGTCCTTTATCACTGCATTATAAGTATCTACAATTAATAATCAATAAAATTATACTGATAAAGTTCAACAAAGATCAATCAATAAAGTTCTATTTTAATATTTTATCATTTAAAAAAAAATCTTTAAAAATATCATTAAAAAATATAAACTACACCCACACCTGCCTCCACCCTCATTTGCCCCACTCTGGGCCATTGAGCAAGGCCCTTAACCCGAAGGTCCCAGGTTCGATACCCGGTCATTGCACATCTCGTGGTGTCTCTGAGCAGGACACCTTATCCCCAGTTGCTCCCCGGACACTTTTCATAGTTGCCCACTGCTCCACCTAGTGGTGGATGGATTAAACGCAGAGAGCCAATTTCGCCATTGTATGGGAACATACAATGATTCAAGATGTAAGGATTCAAGGTTCTTTATTGTCATATCACATCACATGTGGTGCATGAGGTGGAACAAAACTATGTCCACAGGGTCCCAGTTACATCCAACAAAAATACAAATTGTAAAGAAAAACAGTAATGATGACAATACATACACATTATTATTATTATTATTATTATTATTATTATTATTATTACAATCTGCTCCCAAGCAGGTCTCTCTTGAAAATGAGTTATCATGACTCAGTGAGACTACCTGTATAAGTAAAGGGTAAATAAATAATGTATTAGCCATCTATAAGGGGAGTCTTATTGTAAAGTGATACCAAAAGAACAACTATAGGAGAAAAACATTGAAGAACACTGGCTTTAACTGCATCTTTTAAGGATGCACGTCCTTTACTTAATAGGATATATTGTGTCTGTAAAGTGGGCGTTTTGTACAAATATTTTAATTAAACAATGTCTCATACCTATGCTTGTGCTAACTGTAGCTTTCAGCCACTGCTTTAATGACTTCAGCTTCTTCTCTGGTTGTTTACACTTTTAAAAACTCACTTTATAGTGAGGATGCCTTCGTGCAACAAACGCTTCTCTGCATGACTGTGTGCAGAAGTTAGGACCACAGGCACAGAACAAGCTGAAATCTTACCATGCCGACACAGAACAGAGTAAAGACGATGAGCCATGGGATGTCCGTGCAGCTGTGCTCCTCCAGCGGCTTCCACTCGCTTTTACTCTGCCGAGACATGAAGCACAGGACCTGGTGACCCGTTTCTGCTGCTGACAGCGCCCTGCAGCTCCACCAAAACACAAACAAGCAACTGAGTTGTCCACAGCAAAGAGCTGTTACAGCTGCCGCCGAGACGTGACGTGACGTTGGCCCCCACGTTGTCAACAAACGTCTCGGAAGAAGCCATTAAAGCCTTTAACTCACTTACCTCCGAGCTGCTGCAACACCCCATGTTGTACCTCGGAGAAAGTAACTTCCACTAAAACTAAAGTGTTAAAGTGTCTAAACTGTCGCCCACGTTTGTTTCTCCTCTTTCGTCACTATTTGTGTTAGTAAACAGACTAAAGTACATTAGTTTATGCCTGGTTTCATTGGTCTTTGTCCTTACAGGTAAACGCGGAAGAAGACGACTTAAACAACAAAAACCAAACCGTATGGTGCCTTCAAATACAGGCAGAAAACTTCCGCACTGCTTTGAGTTAAAATTGTTTGTACACTTTTTGCTCAGTGCGTTAGTTCTCATTTTCATGAGCACATCCAAGCAAAGTATTAACAACAAATGAATACGAAAAATAAAACAAATTAACTTCTACCCACGTTTGCAATGCAGTCTACATGTAGTATGTTGGTAAGTTTATGTTCGCTGAAGCTGTTGCAGTTTTTCGATGGAGACGGTGAAAATTACTTGGCGCAGTGAATGCAGCACAACTTGTTGCACGCGCTCTGAATAGTGTAGTTTGGCGCCACCTGCTGGATTAAACACGGAACTGTTGATTGAGAGGCTAATTATTGATGATAAATAGTCAAGTAGGTAGTACTGTATTACACCACGACAGTTTATCTAACTAATATCATTTGGTGCTGATGGTTGTGCGAACTATTTATCCACAAAGCAGGTGAGTAGGGAGACAATATTTATTCACTTCCACAAATAGCCTACTTTAAACTTAAAACAAGCATTTGTCCTTTTTTATATTATCGTTCAAACAGACTATTTGTCTAGTTGGACAGAACATTGAGGCAAGTAAATATAACCAAGTTAAAAAATAAAAACATAACTGCGTTATGTCCATTCATCTGTAGTGTTAGTAAAAACATCTGGATGAATTTTTATCAACTCTGAAAGTAATCATAGGAAATGCATCTACGATACAGGTAAAGTTTTGAAGGCAACTCCATTCAAGATGGCCGCCCCAGCTAACTGACATTAGGAAACACATAAATTAGTATAACTCAGCCAGTTTTACAGATAATGAACTAAATTTCATTGTGTTAGTAACTGAGCATTATCTTTAATGCATAATCTGAGCACTACAAGGTGCAACATGTTGGCTTAGAACTTTGACACTTATTGTTAGAGTTGACACTGTCTGTTAGTAAAATATCTTGTGAAAAATTATGTGCACAACTCATTGCCATTGGAGTCAATCAGATTCAGGATGCCTGCCAGAGCTTATGGACCTTAGCCAACACAAAAATGGCTATAATTCAGTCACCTTTACAGGAATGGAGCCTGTTTGGGCTTTATAGGAGCTCAACTCATGCTTGGAGGGCTTCAGATTTTGTAAGATTTCACCATCCCCCATAACTGCTCTTGTAACGTCTTTTACAAGGTTTTATACAACAGCCATGACATCACGTCTTTTCAGCTCGAGATGGTTTTAGTTTAAAACTGCCATGAATGGCAGTGTGTGATCTGCATTCCTTTAGGGAATGCTATGCCTTTCATTTTTTAAAGTAGCATTGGCAGTCGTTTCTGAACTTCACTCAATTACATATGATCTGGTAGTAATTTCTCCCTAACTCTGGCAAGATTGCTGCAGATTTATATCATGTAAGTAGGCCTGTCACGATAACACATTTTCTGGGCAATTAATTGTCTCAGAAATTATTGCGATAAACGATAAAATAGTTTGAAATTTAATAAATAGTAATTATTGTCATATTTCAGAAGAAATTTGGGTTAATTTGTTTAGTGTGTAGTACCTTTTTTGGCCACTTGATGACAGTATAAGACTGTTTGAACTGAAGGATGGATAGTGAGGGAGCGAGCAGTGTGTCCCTTCAAGAAAAATGGGAGGGAGGCCCCTAGACGTGACATGGGCTGTCTCTTGTTACTTTTTTCGGTTCTCAAAATAACAGACGCTCGGTGTGTTTTGAGCTCTTTAGCATAACATTTTTCACACAAAGCTTTTAATAATCAATCAGTAAAAAAAGTTCTCAGCTTCTTTTTGCAGAGAAAAACAACTTTTTACACGAAGGCACGGGTTTCAACCATGAATTTTGGAGCTTCGACAAGACAGAGGTTTTTTTCCCGATGTTGACCTGTTAGCTTAGCTCATAGCTTACCTTCTCAGCTTAGCTGCTTTTAAAGATCCAAAAACGCAATTCTGTATGGTTTAAACAGATTTTAAAGAGAAAAGAGAAAGAGAGGGGTCAGTGAAGAGCACCGGAGTTGAACCTTTTGTCATCCAGTGTCTTGAGTAGAGAGAGACACGAAGAAACGATAAAGCCAATAAATGAAAATGAGGTTGATAATTTTAATTTATCACGCAATTAATTGACAGACAGCACGGTGGTGCAACTAGAAGAGCAGCTGCATCCCAGCGAGCAGGTCCCTGGTTCAAATCCCGGTCCGAGGGCCTTTCTGGGTGGAGTTTACATGATTTGTTCATTCATTCGACCTTTATTTAAACAGATAAATCCCATTGAGCCTCGAAGACTCATTTACAAGTGAGGCCTGTTTGGACAGACAAAAACAGTGGTTAACTGGACACATGTAGGAGTTGGAGGTGAAAAAAACTCCTATCAGACTTTTTTTTCTTGCCTGAGAAAAAAACCCTCTAATATGATCTTTCCGTGCATGCGTGGGTTTTCTCCGGGTGCTCCGGTTTCCTCCCACAGACCAAAAACATGCATGTTAGGCTGATTGGTAACTCTAAATTGTCCCCAGGTGTGAGTGAGAGAGTGAACGGTTGTTTGTCTCCTTTGTCTCTATGTGTCCCTGTGATGGACTTGCTGCGACCCGTCCAGGGTGTCCCCCGCCCATTGCACTGATTGCCGGACATGGACACGGCGACCCCGGTGACCCAAAATGAAAGAAGCAGGTAAAAGATAATGGATGGATGGACGCGATCAATTGATTTATTGTTTATTGCGACAGGCCTACATGTAATCTATTCTTTTGTTCAAACACGGATGAACATTGTATAGCATTTAATAGCTCAAATTGTAGATTAGGAACTGGGATGAATCCAGATCCAGATCACACTGGGAACCCTTCTGAATGTGAAGTATGTACGAGCAGCAAAGCAGATGTTCAGTGGCGTTACACTTTAATCAAAATGAAATCAAACTTGGATGGAAACATCTGCCCGGAGATCCTGCTCACCGTGTGATGAAACAGCTCCTGGCCTCTCGTCTCCTGAATCCCAGTCTCAAGTGATTCCTGCTGACGCTGCTTTGGCAACAGTGTCCAAGGACAACAAAAGTTCCTGGATCCCCATCTGAGGCACCAGTGCCAGTGCTGCATATGTTCAGCAGAGATCAGTGTGAGGAGATGTAGTGCGTCACCATCTTGGCCTGCTCACAGTCCGGTCCGAGATCCAGTCATTCTTCATGTAGAGTGTAACATGAGGATTAACAATCTGTCTTTTCTCAGTTTCCTTCAAGATAGAAAATGTTAGCCAATCTGAAGCTGTGGGGATGCAGTGAATTAGTTATACTTTTACCAGCCAGAAAATGGCTGTTCAAAGCAACAAACAGGGTGTCAGCAGGTCTGCTGAGGGTTCGGTAAAAATTACACTGCATTCAGACATACCAACTTTTGTATTATTTTGATGTTAACACGGTTCAGAGCCATGTTTAAATACTTAACAGACTCAGTCCAAGATGGCTAAAGAAGCAAACGATGCCTGATGTACTGAAGACTGTGTAAACCACAGAGCTCTGACAGCACAGCTTCACCGTAAACTGAACATGAGCTCTGTGCCTAACTAGATGACAGTAATGTGACCGTCCATGTTCAGACTGTTGTCCTGTGATCAACGCTTTCCACTTTACAGTGACGATGTCTGGTCCAATCAGCTATAAAAACAATCAGAACAAACAATTTCGGAGTAAACTAACCATGCAGCGTTCTGGTAATCCACTTTGATTAATAAAACCCTGACAAGAAGGATTTTGACTCCATGAACACTTTAGTCAAACAAATCTAAACTAACAAAAACAGCTGTATCTTGTGAATATTTCCACAGAAGGTTGTTTAACTGTTTGGTTGAAGGGCTGGATCTGTCACGATTCACGCCTGTCTGAGTTTATATTTTTGTCACTTTGTTC